CCCCCCGCCACATCCTGGGGGCAGTACCTTTTTGCCCCGCGCCTCCCTGGACAAGACGGAGGCGTAGTACTTCAGCGTGTTGGTGGCCTGCAGGCTGACGGCCCGCCTCTCTTTGCCCACCCTCTGCACCACCGACGTCTCCATGTATTCCTGCAAAAGCCGCGGGTTCAGCTTTCGGCTTAGGGATCGTCCAGAAAGTACGTCCGTGATTCTCAGATACATTCGGCAAAGTACGGGAGCTGGGCGCCCGCGACACTCCGGGTAGGCCACCCCGCAGCACCTGCATGCACGATGTTGCCTACCTATAAGGCGCTATGAGCTCCGAGGGAATGAACTTGGGCAGGTTCGTAACGGCGAAGGACGGACGTACATTCTGGGCGTGTGTCCTCTCCAGCTGAGACTCTCTTAGTACCTGCGGCACGGCCCTGCGCGCCAGCGCCGCCATCGTGGCGTTCTCCTCGCCGAGCTCCTCCAGGCTCGGCAGCATGTTGGGGTGCATCTCCACGTCCAGGCCCGAGTCCAGGATCTCCTGCAGGGTGCCGATCTCGCCGGGCTCCCACGGGTCCTCGAGCAGGGTCTTGAGCGAGGCGATGTAGGCCGTCGTCATGACCAGCGCGAAGAAGAACCAGGAGAACAGGAAGGCGCGCAGCGGGACGAGGCGCGGCACGCGGCCGCGGGGCACGCCGATGAGCACGCTGAGGGTGTAGCCGGCCACGAACGGGTAGCGGGTGAAGCGGCCGCGCGCGCGCTGGCTCCACTCCACGGGCACGCGCGTCGACAGGAACCACGTGACGACGGAGCACGCCGCCGCCGCCAGCATGAGGGACGTCCACAGGGCGGGCGAGAACTCGCGGACAATGTTGCGGAAGCCGGAGGGTCAGCTGCCCAGGAGGGTGGGCACGACCCACGTCATGCACATGAACTCGGCGCTGCGCGTGAGGTCCAGCACCACGTCGCGGTTGTGCAGCGGCAGGAAGCCACCGACGGCCACGTGCGCCCGCCGCGCCATCACGTCCCCGAGCATGCCCGTGCCCGTGCCGTTCTCGTAGGCCCAGCCCCACAGGAGGCCGTCCGTCGCGGCCTGGAGGCAAAGTCAAGCAGTGAGAAATAGACTTCAACTTTGGTGTATTTATTTCTGAACATGGGTGAACTTTGGACGAAGTCCGGTCCTGTAGAGAACATAATCATTTTTAATGGGCAAATTGTCCTTGCCTGTAAGCGTGGCTTGAAGACCATGCGCCTTCCGAACTCCTGCAGCATGGCGATGACGACGCCCTTGGCCGTGGAGGTGTCGTTTCCGTCCAGCAGCACTGCCGAGGGGCTCTCCGCCGTGTCGCACACGAGAGTGCAGCCGCCGAGGCGGAGGCGCGCGTTGCGGGGGAGCAGAGGCGCGCTGACCCGCCAGCCGCCTGCCGCCGTGCACGAGCCCACCAGCTCCGCCCGGGGCGCCTCGTCGCAGCGCGAGAACGCCCTGAACGAGAACGCCTCCACCCCGGCCGCCCCCGCCGCCAGCACCACCGCGTTGACGAAGTTGTGCCTCCACAGCGCTGCCACGGCCGCGTCCGAGTGGCCGGCCTCGGCCACCAGGACAATGGCCGTGCGCGAGTACTGGGGCAGCGCGTCCAGCACCGCCGCGGTCGCCTCCATCCTGTACACGCACGCGTGAGAGGGTCCCACTTGCTCTCGCTCACCTCCACCCAATGGACTTACCCCACGCCGAGCTGGTCCACAACGAAGAGATCGGTGACGTAGTTGTAGGTGGGTAGCCCCCGGGTCTGCACGTCCTCGGCGAGCAGCAGCCGTCGCGGTGCACTTAGCCCGCGGAGCTCCGAGAGTCGCCCGGGGCCAGCCACCACCGTCACCTGGCCGCTGGCCGCCAACCAGCGCCGCTGCAGATGCACGATGCAGGCGCCCACCTGGCGGCCCTCCTCGTCCCTGGGGGTGCCCGTCGGCACCGCCAGGAACGCCGAGGCCAGCGGGAGGAGCTGCACGAGGGCCTCGAGGCACGCCCTGGCCGCCCGCATGGCGACGGTGAGCGAGCTGTGGTCGAGCTCGCGGGCGTCTCACTTGTGCGGGGTGCCTTTGCGTGAGGCCGCTGACGACACCTTGCCACGCAGGGCAACCTCGCAGTGCGCAGGGCAGAGGTCACCCTAATGGCTACTCTGGCTGAGCTGAGCAGGGTGTTCGATAGCCCCCATTGTGGAGTGTGGTGTGGTGAGGTGGGGAGGGAGTCGCCTAGCCCGTCTGAGTATTTACTCGGCTACCGTTCGTCTTGTGGTCGCGGTGGAAAAACAAGCTCTGGATTTTTAAGTCAATTTTGTCGAACTTTCTCATTATGTAGCCCAGTCCCCGAGCTATTGCGGGTTCTTCAATATAAAGGACAAGAGGCTTCGTTTTTTGGTTCATAAATTGGCCATTTTCCTGAAAAATGTCAAAGTTGCCCCTACAGTCAGACTTTATTTTTTATGCTTCGTTTACCTCTTATTTCGGGGATATTTGTTTATCCTTTGGCTCTTTTCACTGTCCTCACACAGGGACAGCGACCCGGGCGTGCGGGCGTACATGGAGAACCGCGGCATCAGCGGGGACTACCGGCGCCTGCAGTCCGACTACCTCCGCTGGCTGACCACGGAGGTCCAGCGGCTCAACCGGACGCCTGTCGTCTGGCAGGAAGCCTGGCAGAACGGCAACTTCAACGCGGACGATGTCATCGTGCACATCTGGCTGGGCAACGCCATGGACCTCATGAACCAGGTGCCGGAGAGAAACAGCCTTTCGGCTCGGTAGTTCCCATGCACATCGCTTTGACACCGTTTCGACCACTTTGTTGGCAGGTGACGCGTCGGGGCTTCCGCGCGCTGCTGTCCGAGACCTGGTACCTGGACCACCTCAACACGGACTGGCGGGCCATGTACCGCATCGACCCGCAGAACTTCCACGGGCGCGCCGAGCAGCTGCGCCTCGTTGAGGGCGGCGAGGCATGCATGTGGGGCGAGATGGCGGACGACACCAACGTGCACTCGCGCATCTGGCCGCGCGCCGCCGCCGTGGGGGAGCGCTTGTGGTCACCCAGGACGACGACGGACGCGGCGGCGGCCGCGCCCCGGCTGGAAGAGCTCGTCTGCCGTCTCCGCAGGAGGGGCGTGACCGCCTCCCCCGCCAACGGCCCGGGCTTCTGCCCACGGTAGCGAACGGCCCCGTTCTCGCTTTGGCCAGTTTTTTTTAAAGCGGCATTCCCACCGGTATGGGTTTTGTGATAGGTAAACGGTTAACCAACGAAGTGCACGTAACTAGATATGTGTGCTGTGGGTGTGTGTTTGTGTGTATGCGCGCGCGCCTGTGTGCGCGAGAACATTGTTTTGCTGAGTGTTTGTCAATTTTTACTTTTAGACCATAAAATTATATTTTTAAGGTACTGATTATTGTGTACGTTCGTTGTAATTGATGTCGCGATGTATGAAATACATTTTAACACTTTTTGGTAACTGGTTTTGACCGAAATTCTCTATTAATAAAATAACAGTGGAGACAGGAAATACAAAAAATAATTTTGTGCTCGACCAATGAAAATTTGTGGCTGTGGGTATGCTGGATTTAGTATCGTTAGGCGAGCTGCCTCAGCTGAGACGCCTGCCTTACCCCTTCACATCTCAGAAATAGTGGGCATTTATTTTGTGCTATTTCTATGATCAAAAGTGATGGTTGAAACACAACAAGCGCGACGTTTCAGCTTGAGCCTTATACCGTACAAAACAACATAAGCTCCGAATGATTCAAATTTCGCGCTAAAACAATGCCACTCTTTCAAACACAATTTCGGAGCAAGGGTAGACGAGGAAATTCATTTGTGAAGTGTGATACTTGAGCAAATTTGGGAATGCTTTGAATTTTAATCCTCAGTCCAGGGGGACAAGGGATTTCACAGTTCTCCTCTCGTTTACGGTGTTTTGTGGCTTTGTGCCCGCGTCTGTCGTCCTGTCTCCTTCTTCTTCTTTCTTTTCGTTTTCTCTCCCTCCCGCCAGTCCCACCATTGATGCGATGCAAGTGCGCCGAACGGTTTATGTTGGTCTTGGTTGTTACGGTTTCTTGTGTTTTCTTTGCTCGTCAATGAAAACGAATCTATGTCATGCATTATATATCTAAGAAGACTAGTTAATCATGGGAATAATAGCATGGTTTTATGACTTTTTCGGACGGCCTCAACCCACCGATAATGATCATAGCAGAAAGCGGAGGTGAGTTAAGAACACTCAGGCATCCATAATTTTCTGAAACTTGTTGACGTTGTTGTAATTTCCGGCTCTTCGTCGGATTGCTTTTTTATCCTTTTAAATGCACGTACTAGTTCCTCTTGATTTTAAACCGCTCACCTTACAAATCATGCCTTTTTAACTGCGTCGGTGACTTGTGTTCTCTAACCTCAAACCTTAGTAAAAGTAGTGATCTATCTTTCATTAGTCACATTTATATTTGTGTGGGCTTACATGTATCCATGAGTGACTGATATTCGATGCTTTAGTTACTTTCTAATGCCTCTCCTTAAAGATGAAGTATGAACAGTTTGATTCAACCTTAGCTATCAACCATTTCCTCTTTCTACAATTTAAAGATATTCAATACCAGTAGCCTTGTCTCTCTGTTTATTTTTACAGCTTCCACTTTTATCTAATCTGAATATCTCTTGACCATTATCACTTTAACATAGTACTTCATGTATATTTTTATAACCATGAGTGTTTTTCCCCCAGAGCTGACGACATTGGTGGTGTGCCAGACAATAAGTTAAGACGTCTGGAAGGCACTCAACGGAATGGTAATGTACTACTTTATGTTAGGTTTATGAATCAGTCTTGGAAGTTCTCTTAAATTTCTTTAAAGAAAGCCTGATTTTATTTAATGAATTATTTGTTATTTCAGGTGATGCTCACATAAGTCATCATGTTGTTAACAGGACAAAAGATAGATCTAATGTAAGTTTGCTTTTGTTTTCAAAAACTGCAGATGTATTGAATTATAATTTTAACAACCGTTTACTACTACAAAATATTTTTTTCTAGATGTTTGTGAGTTCTCAACATAGAGGAAAGCCTACTTTTATTTCTAGTTGGGATCAGATTGGGAAAGAAAATGATTTCCGATCTGCGTCATTAAATAATCTCAAAATGGAGCCAACAAATAATGTAGATGAGGTTCCAGAGGTTCAGATACTAGAAGAGCATAATTTTAAGTCTTGTAAAAAAGGCCCGAGGAACAGTAATCCTGCTTACAATGTAACCTGCGGCAATGGCTTGAGTGGTGTGGGTCAATATACATCACCTCAGAGTTCTTGTGATACAGAAGATGTGGAATTTCTCAAAGCCGTAAAGCCTCCACAAGCAAGTAGTAGTAGTAGTGCTAAAATTGCAAAGGAAAGAACATCTGTATCCAGAGGTGATCATGGACATCGCAGCACACCTATCCAGAGAAGACCATTTAAGGTAAAACTTCTACATGTCTTAGATCTCAATTTTATTTGAATGTAATATTTTCCAAGAGTGAACAGAAAGTAAGATTCTGCTCCTCTATGGTTTCTTATTGTCTTTTCATTTCTGTTTGCTGTGTGTTTTTATTTTGTTAAAACCTTTAGAAATTAAATTGTTAAACATCTTCTTGTCTTCCTACTTAAATAGTAACAGTGCGAGTCAATTTCTGTAATCTTTATTTTTTCTTCTTGTTTAGACCATAGATCCGTCATCTTCAGTCAGAGATGCAGTCACACCTATTCTGTTCTCACACAGAAGATCTGTAGTTCATTCACCTGAGCAATCAGAAGTTGAAGTTTTGCCATCACCAAGTAAAACACTTTAGCATTATCAATTCTTTATTAATTACTGGGTTTTCTGCACTATTTAAATATTGATCTTATTTTTTTACAGACATGACAAATGGAGTCAGTCCATGTCACTTCAGAAATCTGAATTCTTCATTGTTATCTGAAGCAAGCAACATTCAGAGGAATAGTAATACTTGTACGCTTTCTCATGTAAGTTGTAGTCAGTACTTACTTACCCATAATTTTTGATTCATTTAAATTACTATTAAGATACACATTTTTCTTCCAGATGAAGAAAGTCCGTGACGAACAAGTGTATGGCCAGCTATTTCAGCAGATTGTTGGTGTTGAACGGTATGTAGCTTCTGTTTAATTCTAGATGTGAATCTTATACAAGTCTTACTCTTTAAAAAAGAATCTTTTCTCCCTATTCTTGTTTTCATTTAGGCCAATCAAGATGTGCCGTAAGTTCCCTTTTTTCCTCATATACCACTCTGCTCTATGTAATTTTTATTGTGTTGATGATTTTAACGAGCTCCTCTCACCCATGCTCTAGGTCCAAAATCCCCTGATGTCGTGGAAGAAATGAATACCTCAATGAGCTCAAGGTGTGTGTTTTAAAATCCAGCTTTGATCTTTAAATTAAATTTCTGTGAATTTTATCATTTAATTTTTCTGCTTTTAGTATTCAAAAGTCAAGTTTTAGATCATCACCCTTAAAATCTAGAGTTCCTCAATTGTCTCCCACCACTCCAACTAGGTGCAGACGTATTAATGTTCCAGTTGAGATTCAACCAACAGAACCCTCAACATCTGGTAGGTTTTTTTAAAACTCTAACCAGTATCCTTTTTTGTTTTAGGATACTTTTCACTTACATTGGTTTACCTGTTAATTTTTCTAGCATCTCGGCAGCTTTTAGAGGACCAAGATTTACAAATTATAGGTCAGGTACAAGCTACTTCACCAGTAAAACCAACTGATCCTGATTTACTAACTGAAATGTGAGTAGTTGAACCTCTCTCTTTTCCTGTATACTGTTACAGCTTTCTGAGGTTTACTGTTTCTTGCTGTTTCAGTTTACAAAAATATGCTCTTAAAGACAAACAATTGGAACAAGCAAAAGAAATGGAGAAACAATGCCGCCTTCTTTCAGAGAGAAATAGGCAAGCAGAAGAACAAAGAAAGAATCAGATGGAAAATGCCCTCATAGCTGAAATAACTTCTTATCTCCACATTGTGGAAGAGATTGAGGAAGAGGAGCCTCCATCTCTTCCTGTCCTCACTCCAGATATGGAGGTACGCACTCTATTCTTCATACAATAATCCTATACTTTTATCCAAGTTGTTATTCTAATCCAATGGCAAATTTTTCCCAATTTTTCTAGTCTGAAATTGACAGAGCATTAGGAGCACACCCAGATACTGTACTTGCTAATGCTTTTAACTTGACCATTAAAGGAAGGGACATGCGGACATTGAAGCCCCTCGCATGGCTAAATGATGAGGTACAGTACAATTGGGAATTAGCATATTTTTTTTCTTTGTATTTGAATTCTGATTTTGGTGTAGTTTACCAATACAAAGATGTTTTTCTTTCTTCCTTCACCAAATTATGTAGGTTATTAACTTCTACATGAATTTACTCATTGAAAGAGGAAAGTCAAAGGATTATCCATCAGTCCACGCATTTAACACATTTTTTTTCCCTAAACTAAGTAATAGTGGCTATGATTCTCTTAAACGGTGGACCAAAAAGGTGTGTGCTAGAATTTCTTAATATTCTACTGTAAATTGATGCTTTTAAAATAAACATCTATTGTTAATTTTCTCTCTGTGCTCATAAGGTTGACATATTTTCTCATGACTACATTTTGGTTCCTATTCACCGAGGGATGCATTGGTGTATGGCTATCATAGATATGAATGAAAAGGTTATTCGTTATTATGATAGTATGGATGGGCGCTTTCCCCAATGTGCTGATGTGAGTTGAAGAGGTTTTTTTTTAGCTTGTTTACTTCTCTTCACCCTGTTTAAACTTTTTTTCTGTATTATTTTTTTTCTCCCATGTAGGCACTATTAACGTACTTACAAAAAGAATCTATGGACAAGAAGAAACAGCCTTTTGATACATCTGGTTGGGTAAAAGAACATGCTGAGGTAAGGGAAATATATAGGTACTTGGCCAACTATTAATTGTTGCACTCTGTCTCAACCTCATCCTAATTGACTTTTGTTTTTTCCGTAGAAAATTCCTCAGCAAAACAATGGAAGTGATTGTGGTATGTTCGCTTGTATGTATGCGGAATATGTGAGTAGAAACGCCCCTATTTCCTTTTCGCAAGATGATATGCCTTACTTCAGGCGGAAAGTAGTTTATGAAATCCTGAAAGCCAAGCTTCTTACCTGAAAGTTTCATAACTTTGTATAGACCAAGAGCAATTGCATTTGACACACAAATGCCAGAGAGACTGAGCTTAATTGTGTGTGTTTCAAGTGTTTGCTAGTCAAGCCACATCAATATTTTTATAGATCACACAGTTCTTGCATACAACAAAGAAGATGTTAGTGAACGGACCAACTATCGGTCTGGCAGTACGCAAAACAGATCGGAAATTTTAGCTAAAAAACTATGGGCCCACACCGCTTCCCCATGTCTACGTCGATCGACAGCACTCTGGCGGCGCACGAGGTCGTCCGCAGGTCGACGTGGCGACAAGTATTAAGTGATACAGTGGTGAAGCTCCTGGGACTGATGCTGATGAGCTTAACAGCCCAATTCTAATCTCACGCCTTTTATTTTTAGATACAGATAAATTTTCATGATGTGGTGTCTACTTAGCTTGCTCTCCACTATAACCATACTATGTACTACTTGACCGGTGGTCTAATTGCTGTTCTGTATTAGAGTGGTGTATGCTCCCATGAGGACTCAATATTTTTTTTCTGATCAGTAGACTGGTTTTTAAGTTATGGTAACCTTCCCAAGTGTTCTGGACAAAATCCGTACTTTATTGTGTAATTTTTCTACTATTTTCATCATTTTTTCTGTACATGCTAAAGTACATGTCTCTGGCTTAAATTTATCATGGGTCTCCGCGTGCGCGCGCGCGTGTGTATCTGTCGACATGCAAAAGTTAAATTTTCTTTGTTTTCATATGAATAAGTTCTTTAGGGTGTTGAGCATGTATCATTTTTGTGTTACAAATTTGTTTTAAGCAATCTTTTTTTTTAATTGTGATACTACCTTTCTGCTGGGGTGAAATCGTTTATCTACGAAACTTACAGTAGAAATAAAAAAACATGGCGTTATTCACTCTCCTGGCATAGTCTTGTCAGCAGTTCTCTGATTCAGTAACTCATTGAAGGAAGGACGTGAGAGTGGAGGCCCTTACATCCTAATTTCAAAGCATATTTGTTGACAAATGTTAAAAGGAAAACATATTTTTTCAGACTAGAGTTTTGTATAAATGTATATTGATGTAATAATTTATAATTTTCAATATTTTTCTATTTTATGCTTGTGCAACGTTTCTTTTCACTACTCAAAATTTTGTTTTACTCTCTCTTTCTTTCAGTAAGGCACAGAATTTCTGCAACTGACCTGTTTGTTTATGTATCTCTCAGAAGTCTTACATTTGAAATTTTACTTCATGTTTACCTCCGTTGTTAAATTAAAATTATGACCACTTAAACAAATATCTCCTATACCTTCCTTGATTCACAACATTAAAATGGTAATTTGTTTCACAGGGTATTGAATTGAAACTTAAATGATGTAAATTTGTTCTCACCCACCTCATTTGTTTACCCTAAGGTCTATAGTGTGTTATCTTTTGAACTGCTTTTCATGAGGCAGTGTTGGAAGAACCATGTGGCATCATAGCTTCTTGTGATTTGCGACTTTGGTACTTACCATTTGAAATATAGACTTGTATTTTATTAATCATAAACAGGAAAGGCTGTGCAGATTCATCAAATGTGGAAAATTAATCGAAACCTTTTTATGTCTTCTGTTTTGAAGTAAATACAAAGTGTACCCGTCCAATTAATTTCTTTCCATATTCTCAGAACTAGAATTATACAGCAAATTTTCAGCTTTTGTAAGTTATGTAAATAAAGTTTACTGTACATGATTTCTACTTAAAGTATTTGTGTTGAAAATCTAGACATGCAACTGTGATAACTCTGTCTGTCTTCATTCTCTGGTTGTATTATTGGGCAGAAAGACAATGCTAGCTGGGCACACATCTAGAGAGATTACTGAATCATGGTAAGCATGATAAAGTCGAGAATCCTCTAAACAAACCGTACCACCTCCACGTTGCCTCTGGTGTTCCTGAAATTAAAGTGGTCGTATATATTTCTAATTCCATTAAGCTGTTTACTATCTGGGAAAGAATACCACAACTAACCATTCTATTGATGTCTCCTATGCACACCCATGGTTTTTCATCACCAGACGACACTGCCCATTTGGAGTGATCTTCACCGGTTCTAAATGACAATGAATCAAGCGACAACCCCTCCACATTCTCCACTCTGACAGCAGAAAAATAATTTTGATTATTTGGAGTGTCTAATGTTTTTAAGATAAGCTATCTGGAAGCATAAGGGTTTACCTACTTGTAAGGTTTTCCACATTCAGATTGCATTTTTGATCCTGGTCCATGATTCCATGTTTCCACAAGAAGATTTGTCTTGAGATCTTGAGCTAACCAATCTGCATACAGATCTGGAAATTCATTATATTCATCAATACGAGATTATGCCTCATGTGCTTTAAACTGCAAATCCTAGAACGTCTTCTGCTCTTAGTACCTTTTCCAAAGTGCTTGGATTTGGCATAAGATATAAAAGATTGGCCACCATATGAGGAAAATTGTGCAGATTTGAACCAAGGTGCAGATTTTACACGCTCTCCATTGGCAGCTTTTGCAAACCAAGGATATGATAAATTCATAGTATCTGGTACTTCAGCATCATATATATTGGGTTCGTTGTATGTAAGTTGTTGACCTTAAATAAAGATGTAATGAATCAAAGTTAAACGTAGATTATCGCTTTTTAAATTCTTTCTTGTACTGCTTTGAATTTTTCCAAATGATAAATTAATAGAATATGATAATGTTGATCACCTATGGTTTCTAGTCCTTTTGGAGGCACTGTAACACACAGGAAACTTTGTCCATAAATGACACCTGTGTTAGGATAAGAATACTCGTTGTTGCTCGCCTCTGGAGGATAATGTGGTACACTGTGAATTAACCACAGCCCAGATTCTCTGTCCCCAAAAGCAACACCTTTTGTGTGGCCCAGAGTCATTGTGGTATCACCATGTGGTGGTTCATCATTGTACAATATCCTTGCAAAATTTGAGACCTGGAAATAATATTCAAAGTGGCTGAAAAATATTTTTGCCTCAAGGGTTGTCAATACGGATATACAAACCTGATCACTGTATAGAGGTTTAAGTGTATTGCCCATTATTGAATTTGAGTCCCGAACGTTGCGTGTGGACAAAGTCCAGTTTCTGGTGATTGATTCAGAGGTGATAAATACATAGGCTACACCCTCCCTCACATTCAGATCTTTACTGCTTTTCAAGTGTGGTAGTTTAATAGCCACGAACCTACAATATCATTCCAAGAAATTAACTTTCATTTTCAATTTTTTTTTCTAGGGTCTAGTTTGCAACAGTTGACAAATATACTTACCAATCAACAGGTTTGTTGTTTTCATCCTTACACTGCAGCTCACTAGAGAAAACAGTCGGCCATAAAAGGATTCCAAAAAAGAAAGAAACTAAGAAGTTCCATGTTATGTCCATCATAAACCTTTTAAGAAAAGATAATTTACAATGTTTAATATATATGAGGGTCACTTGCCTTGACAGTCAAAAACTGTAAATGACTCTTTAGGGAAGTTTTTTTGGTGTGTTTTTTTGTTGTGATAATTGGGGAGAATCATCTGGTATATAGTAGAGAGAGACTAGACAATCTCTTTTTAAAAAAAAATTCAAAAAATAAATTAAGGTAAAGAAATTTATTGAATTCAACCGGCAATTGTGCGGTGAAGGTTTGTACTTGGATAGCTCATACCGACACTTAAAACAAAGTGAAACGTATATCCAAACTGTTCATATTGATGTGTGAGAGTCAATTCTCTGCTTCGTCATACTCACAAAACTTTGCTGAGAAAGGCTGATCGAATAATAGCTAGCGCATTGGCTGTCGATGTTAGGAGCGACGTGGAGTTAGACGGAGTACTGAGACCAACATGCAAGTACACAGCTAGCAAATGAAAGCGCGCGCCCGCGGCCGGGTGATACGCTTCTCTCGTCCCCTCCACTCGCCTCCACCTCTCTCATTGACTGATCAGTCAACATCCGTTGTCTGGCTTCTCTTCGTGACCTTTGGCCTCATCTCGTGTCATCGACTCTTTGCATTTTGCTCTTGCTTGCTGACGAATGTACTTGTTTAACAGTGTAGCAGCAAGCCAGCAGTCAACGCGGGCCGCTCGGCAGAACCTTGTCGGTGCGGTAGGCGTGACGATGCCCTTCACCGACTCAATTAGAGCAGAGGGAAGTCCAAGTTCATCTAGAAAAAGCAGTACATAAGTTTATATGTTTTAAAAAATATTCTGAGATGTTATTGTTGCCAAAATGACTATTAGAAAAATTACTATTGCTACAGTCCGGGGGATATCATCGTCTCCCCGAACCCTATTAAACATAACAAACAATGTCTTAGTAGAACGCCTCCTGGGTAGGCAAATACAGTCACAATGACGATGTGTTGGTTGCATAGGCCTACCTTTTTCAGAGGCAGTTGGGACAGTTTATGAAACTCACCGTTACAGTAAAACTTATGAGTTTTAATGGGTGATTTGAGGTCAGCTTGAACTGGTTCCAGAAATGATAAGTGCAGGCATAAAGGCAATGCAGCTAACATTCACGAAATCTATATTAAACCAGCCGGTCGCAACTACTAGCGAGTCAGCTTGTAGAGAATTGGCTTTTCGCGGTTCTTTTTGTTTCCAGGGCGACCTTGCTTGCACATGTATTTATGTTCCCCCCTGCCAAATTCCACGATGGTTTAAAATAGTAAAACATCGTTTAAGGAGATCTTTTTTTGTTCAAGAGGCATTTTTCGTGAACTTCATGGTTATTATGAAACCTGAATTTATTTCATCTGCCTACGTTTTCAGCATGAAGAGTTGGCACTCCGCGGGAAACCCCCGTTTAAATTTTTCATACACTAAACGTCTGTCTTCTGCTGTGAAGGAGTTGCATCACATCAAAACTCATTGATATATATACACACAACAGATACACTCACCCAACTCACCTCGCGTATATGTATGACTCGCACTGCAATCGCCTGCTTTATCTTATCTGGTGAGTTCCTAGTCGAGGTGTGAGTCCCCCCCGAGGGCGCTGGACGTCAGTCAGTATTTCCTTCATTGGTTCTGTTCAGAAAGTCCGGTAACCAGTTACTATGGCCGTGAACGGCGCTGTTCCACAGTCACTGTCCAACATGTCTTTCGGCCCACCATCTTCAGTCAGCGAAGCCGATGCTGACCACTCTTTCATCGTTCTGGATCGAATGACAGCTGATGACAATGAGAAAATAGTACAGGAACTGACGGCCTCCGTGTGTGCCTTCAAACTCGACACCAATCTCGGGGACAATGTCGCATTCCCCAACCATTTTGGCGAAAACCCGGTGTCTACACCCCCTGGCTCTGTCTCTTGTAATGGCGAGGTATGAAGACATCCATGAAAAAGTTAAGTAGTGAGAAGGAAGTTCTTTTACACTCAAACTTTTGCTCGTTCTTCTCTAGCTCCTCTCTGACTCGTCGGATGCCCTTCCATCGGAAGTTAGGCACAGAATGAATTCTCTTATTCAAGAAAATAGCAATCTTCAAGGTAAATGTTTTATATTTATCTGTAAGTGAGCTTTTGATTAGACCCTATAACACTAAACATTTATTCCTCCAATAGTTACAGTGAATCAAACTAATGTTGCTTTAAAACAACTGATGATGACCCTCGAACAATGCAAAGGAGACATGGATCGAGTTCGCCAAGACCACAAGGAAAAGTTTCAGGAGACACGGGATTTGGTTCTTAAGGTATAATACCTACCCTGACTTTGATCACATTATGTTGATAGATCTATTTGGAAAGGGCCTTACTTACATTCCATTCATTTTTTGGTAGTTGAAAAAGGAGAAAGCTGATATGCGGATAATAATTGAAGAACTTCAAGCTAAGATAGAAGAACTGCAGCACCAACCTACACCTTCTTTGTTTGAGGCTGTTGTGAGTTGTTTGCTTCTTTGTGATACACCTGTTGACATACACAGAACACAAATAACAATAATCAAATTTGGTACAGGATATGACAGTAAATGAATTTGAATTTAAAAGCAAAATAGATGACTTGCAATCTCAACTAAGTATTGCTGAAGCTTCAAATCAGGCTGAGAGAGAAAAGAGTGCTTTGTACCTTGAAGAGCTAAATTCCTTAAAGCAACATGTAAATGTACTTGAAAACAAGTCAGCACAGTTTGAAGCTCTTCAGAAAGAGGTTGAAAAACAGAACGATCTTCTGAGGGAACTGTCTATTCTTGGCGAAGAGAACTTGCGGCTAAAAAATGATGTGAAAAACCTCAGTTCTGTGGTGAGTCGATCTAAACTAGATTCTAAATGGCCTACTGAGAAAAAATAAACGTCAAGTTCCCTTCTTCATAACTTTAAAATAATTGTTACTGTTTTTTTTGTTTTTTGTTTTTTTTTTTCAAGGAGAGGCATTCTCAAGAATACCAATTTGCCCAAGCTAAAGGCTTTACTCAGCGGGTTGATGAGTTGACAGCCAAGTTAATGTGTACAGAAGAACAATTGGCAAAGGCTAAGTCTGAAGTAGCTCAACTGAAAAGCTTTGAAATAGTTCAAATGAAAAGCTTGGTAAGTGTTTTCTTGATGACTTAGTTTTCAATACTGTTTTATCCTTGGCAATACATATGCCAATTATATCACCTGTTGTGATTACAAATTGTGGAGGCATTACCTACCCTTAGTTTAATAAAGTCATCTTTAATAATAATATTGGTGACTTTCTGAAATTTTTTCAGGAAAGTTCTTCAGGATCACATGATGAAGCCCTTAACAATGTAAGCAATCAAAGCCACTTTTTCTCATCCTCCATATCATTCTGTTGTTGAAATTATCAGTGTTATCAGTCATCAGGAATTTCACTTGTGTCTCCTCATGAACAGGCAAGAGCTACAGTGGATCGACTCCGTCTAAGAATTGATGAAATGACAGCCAAAATTGTTGAGCTTGACCAAAAGTGTGAGAACCAGGCTCAAGAAATATCCAGTTTACAGCATGAGAAAGTTAGGCAAAGTGAAGCTGTTGGAATTCTGCAAGCTCAGGTATTTTAGCTTCCTTTACTTTTTCATAATGTGTTAAAACATGAATACTATGGATATGGGATATTGTTATGGATACCTTTCCAAATTTTCAGGTGGAAGTTTATAGATCAGATTTTATTGCTGAGAGAGATTGCAGAGAGAGATTAGCTGGAGAGAAGGAACAGCTTGCAGAGGATTTGCGACGTTTGCACCGGCACAATTTAGAGTTGATGGAATCGCGGTATGATAAATGTCAATTTCTTTCTTGTTTCAAAGCCTACCTTATGGAATGGAGATAAAAAATTATTAAATTCTTACCTATTTTCAGTAATGTGAATGCTGCGCAGGGAGGTGAAACTGTGAACAGAAATGTCGAACTGGTAAGTCTTTAAGAATACCATAGATTGATATCGTGGAAGTATATTGTGAAAATATCGTTTCATGTGTATTTAGTTTTAGGAAACTAAAGTTGATCATGTTTATTTTTGTATTTGCAGCCTGCAGAAGAAACTCAGAACTCATACAGATGCCCAATATGTCAAATTATGACTTTCCGCACTCTTCAAGGTGTCAATGAGCATATTGACCGTTGTTTGGGAGATGCTAGTATGTCCTGAAGGTAATGCTATTGTTATGTATAGTTGGGTTAAAGCTACCTTTTATTCGTGTATTATATGCTCATGTGTACCTAATTAATGGTTGATTTTGTTCATTTCCTAGTTTATCAACTATTTCTAGACTGCTAATTTAGGTAGCTTGTTCCTTTGTCATTAATTGGCAGAGTTGTGATTTGAATTGTTATTTTTTTGTCTTTTTTCCCCCAAATTGAGATATTTAAATATTAAGTTAATTGTATATTTTTTTACCACAGGTGATGTGGTACTGTATTGGAGATGGTTTCTTACATTTATTTAAAACAAAACCGAGATTATTGCATATTTCATTACCTATTATTCAATGAAAACTTGGAATTTGAATAGAATGCAACATATTGTGTTGTGTTATTGCATGATATTGTGTTATTTTCCGTGTGTTCAGCAAAGTCTCCTGTCGCATGGACGCAGAAAGACTGTCTTTGCTCCCAAACCTTTTCACAAAAGTGGACAAACCCACATCAATTTTTTGCATTGGAAAGATCAACACTCTGTAAAATTATTGGATCTTAGAACTAAAATAGGGAGGTTTCCAAAGACAATCTTGGTTTCCCAGGTGGCATCGCTTGTCCTACTATTATTTTTAGTATTAAATAAATTACTACAAACAATCACTACAAATAGTCATTTCATTGATCCTACTACAAATTTTAGTCAGTGCTTTTGTCCTACCTGTACTCACAATTTTTTTTTGCTGTGTTGTGAGTTTGACCTAAATATTATTTTAGTTGTGTCTTAATTTGGTCACTTAAATTTTGTTAATTAAATTTAGCCAATCAAATTTGCTGAATAAATTTAGTTGAGTAAATCTAAAGCGGCTGTATGCGACATGTATAAATTATGGCCAGAAGGCTGCACATCCAATCGTAACACTTCATGGCGAGAAAAATGCATTCAAATTTCTCGTTAGCCCACCTGTTGGCTACTGAAAAAAACGCATGTCAGCGACACCTGTCGGTCACGTGACTGTAGCGTGCTTCTGGACGCCCATCTGAGACGTCCCTGTTTGTGTTTGTAGCTACACGATTGCAGCTACAGCCGACAGTGCCCGAGTCAGCTTAAACTGAACCGTCTATAGACGAATTCATTGCTTCCGCCAATGCTAGAATATCAACCAGAAGTAAACAGCGCTAAGAACTAAGCGAAAACGAACGATATCAATGCCTCTCCGAAGCTGTCGCCTTGTCCAAGAAGCGCT